ACCGGAAAAGCATCACCCCAACATCAAGAGTGGACCTTGCCAAGCACAGCAGCTGGTGTGGGACCCCCCCATGCATCCCCAAGGCAAAAAGCGGGGAAAAAGCTTCACGTACTTGTTCATGCTGGCCACGAAGCCGATGACGGAGCGCATCCCCTTGCTGCGGCTGTGGTAGACGTCCACGCCGACGACCATGAGCTGCTTCTGCAAGGAGGGCAAAGAAAAAGGCATGGTGGGAGTTAAGGACAAATGGGACGCTTATGGGATGCTCTGCCTGGATCCCTCCAGCCAAACAGAGGTGCCAACTCCAATTTTGCATCCTCAGAGGGACCGCAATAACTCGCCAAATCATCGCGCCTGCGCACAGAGGGGTTTTTTTCCCTGCCTTACCAGTGGGATGTCGACCCCCCAGAGCTCGCCGCCCAGCTTGCAGTTCATCTGCAGCAGCACCTTCTGCACCACGCTCTTCATCTTGCCCCCCTGCCCCATCAGGGTCTGCGCGTTGATGACCTGCGGGAGGGAAAATGAAGGAAGAAACGAGGCTGGAGATGCCCGTGGCTTCCTCACAGCGCTGGTTTCCTTTTGCCGAGCCCCTCGCCTACCTGGGAGGGCACTGGGGACTGCACGCAGCACAGCTTCTTGATGGCCCCGTACAGATCCTCCCGGTTGCTGGAGATGATGCAGAGCAGCAGCTGCACCTTGTTCGGCGAGGAAGCACAGCAGGGAGGGCCATGACTGAGTATTGGGGGGATCCAAGACGACCCATTGGCTGCGCAGAGGCCCCCCGCAGACACCTCAAACTTTGTGCTAAGCCACCCCCCCTCCTCACCTCGCTCCCCAAAACTCTTCGGATGGTCCTGGCGTAGGTCTCGATGCGCTCGTCCTTCAGCTCCACCAAGGCGGGCCGGCTGACGTGCATGCCGCTGGGGCCGCAGACGCTCTCCATGGTGGCCACCAGGTCCTTCACCAGATTCTGCAGGCGCCCGGGGTAAACCAGCAGCCAGTAATTCATGGCGACCTGCGGGGGAGGCGAGCACAGCCCTTGCTTCACAACCACGGCTGCCAAAACGCGCAGCACAGGGAAATTTGGGAGAGGGGAAGCAGCCATAAAGAGCCCATGATGACCCCCGATTCCTGCACTCTGAAAGCCTTCAGCTGCTCCAGGAGGAGGTGGGAAAGCAGCCACGTCCCTATAACCTCGTCAGGAAAAGCAGGCTGCAGCGTAAAGCCAATATAAATATGGGAAGGGTTTCAGCTCCAACGTGCTCAGACGGGAGCGGGGCGGCCGGGATGCCAGCACTAAGGAAACCCATCCCAGATTTCAAACAAGGGCGATATTGTTGCGAGGGCCGAGCCGCGGGCTCACCGTGGAGATGGAGGCCTCTCGCGTCACCTCCTTGTTCCAGCTCAGGTCCTCGGCGGGGAGGAAGGAGCTGTGCCGCAGGTTGATCCTCTCCGTGGGCAGGATGTGGCCCTGGGTCTAAAGGGAGCAGAAAGTGTCACCATGGTGCAGCCTCTGCTGCTTGGGGGGGGACAACTCGGGGCCTGTCCCACCCCATAGGCCTTACCTTGTGGATGTCGGGGTCCAGCCTGAGCCCCCAGCGCATCAGCTCCCCTGAGGCCTCGGGGTTCTTGTGGATGCGGCGCAGGAGGCTGGTGAGGCGCGCGTAGTGCTGCTTGGGGCTCTGCACCGTCTCCCGCATCATCTCCTGCAGGGATGGGGACCCCCCCAGTGTGATGGGGCGGCTCTGAGCTCCCTGACCCCCAAGGCTGGTTGGGGCTCAGCTCTCCAAACCGGGGTGAGCAGGGATCATCAGATGCAAACATGCTCTGACCTTCACCATCCGGCTGTTCTTCCTTATGTCGGGGAGCCCGGTCACAAAGGTGAGCTCTGGGATGAGCAGCACCACGTCCAGCTGACGCTGCAGGGATGGGGACAGGCACCATCAGCACCCCAAGGGCTGGAGGACCCAAGAAAACACCATGGGGCTCAATTCCCTCTCCCCAGGTCTCCATACTGGCTCACCTTCCCCTCCGGCATCTGTTTTTCCTTGGGCCTGTGGATGAGCAGCGGCTGATCCAGCTCCCTGATGGTGATCCCGTAGTTTTTGCTGAGAGAACAGCAAGGAGATGGCATCAGGAGAGACGCTCCTGCTCCCCCACCCTGGGTCAGAGCCGGGCTTCAAGCCCTTCCCCACGGACACCCCAAGAGATGCTCCAGAAGATCCCTACCTGTAGTAGTCCACAAAAGTGACCGCCTTGCCGCTGGCCAGGGTGAAACTGTCCCTGGGGGTCTTGTTCCAGTCGATGTCGTCGATGCGGTAGGTGCGGTTGTTGTAGCGGGTGATCACCACGCTGCCCACCAGCTCCTTGGTGCACTCGTCCTGGAAGCTGCTGACACTTTGCTTGTAGATGCTGTGCCTGCATTGAGGATGGGGGGCGGAGGAGAGGCTCAGGGCGATGCTCCCTGTCCATATCAGCCCAAAAATGAAATGGTTTTGGTCAAACTGGCCAAAAGCTGGCCCTGGACACACGGCTGCTGGAAAACCGCCCTCATCTCCAAAACCTCATGAAGCTCCTCTTGGGTTTTTCCCCCCCCACTTTTCTTACATGAAATCCAGGACAGATTCGCTGCGGACAACTTTGTGAACGGAGTCGATCAGGAGGAAGAGGCCGCCGTCCTTCTTCCGAATGCTGACAGAGTAACCCGGCCAAATCTGCAGCCTGTGACGAGGAGGAAAGACGCTCGACGGCGCCCGGGTTCAAACCGGAGCCGCCCGCGCGGCGCTGCCAGACACCGGGCAGCCGTCCCGCTCGCCAAGGAGCGCTCAAAACACAGAGGATTTATTTCCCCAGCTGGCTGCCAGCTTTCTGCTAATAACCCCTGAATTGCACTGCAGAAAACAGGCGCTCCGAGGTCAGGCCAACCAGAGCTGGCCAAGAGAGCTGACCTGGCAGTGGCTTCCAAATTTCCAGCCTCACACCACTGCTGAGGGGCATGGGGATGTCCCTGTCTCACACCCACCTGCCTGGGAAGGGAGGAAGTCGTGTCCAGCACCCACCTGTAATGCTGCAATACGTTGGCCTGGGCAGGTTCAAAGAAATTTCTCCCCACAAGCTCCATATCCAAGATTCTCATCACCCTGGGGAAGGGAAAAGCTGAGGCTCAGCGGGGAGGAGGATGAGGAGGAGGAGGAGGAAGGTCTCCTCCCTGTCTCTGCCATTCCTCACCTCCGGAAAACCACGTTGTAAAAGGGGATGCAGAGATCCGAGCTGGGCTCGAGGACCTTGGTCATCTGGATGGTGATGGTGATCTCCTCCCCGTCGCTCCTCCTCTGAGCCTTCAGACTGACCGGCTGCGGGGCGAAACGCCGCATTAGTGACGCTCCCCCAGCCAGCACGTGGGCTGGAGACCCAAGGGGGGGCATCCCTGCACCCTCAAATCGGCTCAAACAACCTCACCCCGGTGCAGATCGCATCTCCCTTACCTGGGGAAGCAGGATGGGCAGGTAAAGGATGGAGCCGTCGAACGCGGTGACGTCCCCCACCACCGCCCGGTGCTGCTTCAGCATGGCAAAGCGGGCGCTCCTGCACTCCACCTCGGGGCTGCCGGGGATGGGGACACATCACCAGCAACCACTGGAAAGCCCTGGATCCTTTAACCCTCCCCTGCCTTCCCCCACGAGACCCCAAAAACCCCGCAGAGGGGGGAAAACAGAGCTCATTTGCTTTGCTGCCCTGCAGCAGCGCAGCCCCCACGGCCATGCTGGCCACTCCATCTAGCGGCTACTGGGATGGAGAGACCCAGAGGGCTCTGCCCAGGGGCACCCACCCTCCATGGGGCTGTGGAGGAGCCCGGCCCCCCAGGCCCACACCAATACCTGAAGGTAACGTGGTACTGGTAGACGGCTTCGTTCTGGCAGTGGACTTTAACCGAGTTCAGCCC